AAAAAAAAAAAAAAAAAATGATGGAGAGGCGGCTGGTCTTGGGTTTTCATCCTCAATTCAAATTAGTGCCTCTTGTCTTGTGGTTGGGAGAAAGAAGGGTGTTTTTCATCACTTTAAATGAAAGTCAAACATTAGCAGAGGGCATGAAAAGGGTTAAAATATCCACTCTATGGTTTATACTTTGTTATACAGCGTGGTTAGGAGTTCAGGAGGAAGTGAGCGGCTGCTTTTCTCTGCTCTTTTTCTTCTCTAAATGTCATCTCTCTGCTGCCTGGTGCCTCCAGCAGATACATTCTCTAAACATTCAGCTGTTTTCTGCACTGATAAAAGATACTTAAAAGCCTTTTATCTTTTATTTTTGACCTTGCCCTCCTACCCTATCTTCTGATGCTCTGCTTTCCACCCACTTTTTATTTTCCTCATTTTTTGGTTTTATCTGCAGTTTACCAGCATGTCCTCCCTCTTTTCTTCTCAGTTAATCGCTTAAAAAAATAGTATTTTTTATTTTTTTTTGGCGACAAAAACATGGCTCTTAATTAAAGACACATGCACCGTATCTCTCCCACACACTTGTTTGTGTCTGGAAATATTTTTCTGTAACATATTTGGCTTTTTAAAGAGATATATTATCAGTTGTAAACACCGAAAAACATAATTTTCTCTTTTTGGTAGGTGTACTGTAGTTTTTGGCCTTTAGTTTTAAATACTTAATTTTTTTGGACTGCTAGTGGTTTTATTAGATAAGCGGCAGCAAAGAGACAACAAGGAAGCCAGGAGGAGACACCACATGGGTAATGACAGAAGTCTGGTCTGATGCAGCCTGCGTTTGGCACCACAGATAAAAACTAAATCAAAAACAGTCACTTAATGGCTTTTTCGGGAGATTTTAAGTGCATTTGGCATTTCCTGATGTAATTTGTTCCACGATCATATCTCAGGTGTCTGAAACTGAGACAACAAAAATGGCTTGCTTAATGGAAGAGGAGAACTAGAGCTAAAAAAAGTAGACTGTTATTTATTTTGCATTGAAAAATTACTGTCTGAAACTAAAGTTTCTCAACAAACCTTTTTTTCTTTAATAAAAACGTACCAATGGTTGTCAGCTACCCTAATGGAGAAAAAAGTCTGTCGCAAATTGCATTAAGAAGAAGTTGCGTAGGTGTAGTAACAAATTGGCTCAGTGTAGTTTGAAGGCATTCAGAATTGACCTCTAACCTGTATGGTGCATTATTGTATCTCTAGAAGCATTGTTTTTGGGTTCATGCAATCCTATGTGTTCTCAGATTTGCTGGATCCACCTGACTGCTCTACAGAGTAGGGCTGTGCGATATGACCAAAATCTCATATCCCGATATAAGAATTCTATCGTCCCGATAACGATATAAATCACAAAAATGTAACATTTTCTGTAAATTCTGTGAATCTCGGGCAGCTCGACTTGCGTGAAGTGTTTCCAGCTGCGCGCGTCATGTAGCTGGAGTCGAGTGTTTTAACCGATGCATGAAACGATACATTTTTAGACATAAGTTGTAACGGCCGCCGTTTTCTTTGTGAGTATTTATTACACGGCGTGCTGCGGGGAAAAGCCTGTTCTAACGTTTGAGTCTAAGGTTTATTTTTTAGCACCTGGCGGCTCTTTTTTACTTCTCATCCGTAAATAATCTGCTCTTTCACGTGATTCAGTTTATTTTGAAAAGTCTCAAGTGGATCTTGAGCTTTATTGTGAAAG